GGGAGCCCGATGCGGGACTCAATCCCGGGACTCCAGGATCATGACCTGAGCCGAAGGCAGTCGCTTAACCAACTGAGCCACCCAGGCGCCCAGGATCTGTTTCTTGATTTGTCTCTCTCTCCCTTTTTTTTTCCTTTGTTCATTTTTTTGTTTCTTAAATTTCACATATGAGTGAAATCCCATGATATTTTTGTTACTCTGACTGACTTATTACAGTTAGCATTTTGCTCTCTAGCTCCGTCCAGGTTGTAGCAAATCGGAAGATTTCATTCTTACTTATGGCTAAATAATATTCCTCTGTGTGTGTGTATCTCACATCTTTATCCATTCATCTCTGGAGGGACACTTGGGCAGCTTCCATATTTGGCTATTGTAAATCATGCTTTTTTAAACATAAGGGTACATGTATGCCTCTGAATTCATGTTTTTCTATTCTTTGGGTAAATACCCAGTAGTGTGGTTGCTGGATTGTAGGGCAGTTCTGTTTTTAACTTTTTGAGGAATCTCCATTCTCTTTTCCCACCAACAGTGCAAGATGGTTCCTTTTTTTCCACATTTTTGTCAACACTTCTTTGTCCTGTGTTTTTGACTTTAGCCATTCTGACAGGGGTAAGGTTATATTTCATTGTTGTTTTGATTGCATTTCCTTGTTGAAGAGTGATGTTCATCTTTTCTGTGTCTGTTGGCCGTCTGTTTATCTTCTTTGGAAAAATGTCTGTTCATGTCTTGTGTACATTTTTCAACTGGATTATTATTTTTTTTTGGTGTTGAGTTTTAAAGGTTCTTTATATATTTTGGATACATAACCCTTTATCAAATATGTCCTTTGCAAATACCTTCTCTGATTCTGAAGGTTACCTTTTAGTTTGGTTGATGTTTCCTTTGCTCTGCAGAAGCTTTCCATTTTGTTGAAGCCCAAGTTTATTTTTGCTTTTGTTTCCCTTGCCTCAGAGCCATATCTCTTAACATGTTCCTACAGCCAATGTCAGAAAACCTACTGCTTGTGCTCTCTTCGAATATTTTTATGGGTTTAGGTCTCACATTTAGGTCTTTCATCCATTTTGAATTTATCTTTTTGTGTGGTGTAGGAAAGTGGTCCAATTTCTTTCTTTTGCATGTCACTGTCCAGTTTTCTCAACACCATTTCTTAAAGAGACTGTGTTTTTCTCATTGGATAGTCTTTCCTGGTTTGTCAAAGATTAATTCACCATATAATTGTGGGTTTATTTCTGGGTTTTCTCTTCTGTTCAGTTGCTTTATGTGTGTATTTTTGTGCCAGTACCATACTATTTTGATTATTACAGCTTTATAATATAACCTTCATGTCTGGAATTTTTTTTTTAAGATTTTATTTATTTATTTGAGAGAGAGAGAATGAGAGATAGCACGAGAGAGAAGAGGGTCAGAGGGAGAAGCAGACCCCCCGCCGAGCAGGGCGCCTGATGCGGGACTCGATCCTGGGCCTCCAGGATCATGACCTGAGCCGAAAGCAGTCGCTTAACCAACTGAGCCACCCAGGCGGCCCATGTCTGGAATTTTAATGCTTTTCTTTTTTTTTAATGTTTATTTATTTATTTTAGAAAGAGTAAGAGTGTGCATGAGCCGGGGGAGGGGTATAGGGAAAGGTGGGGAGAGAATCCCAAGCAGACTCCCTGTTGAGTGTGGAGCCTGTCGTGGGGCTCTATCCCAAGACCTTGAGATCATGACCCAAGCTGAAACCAAGAGTCGGGTACTCAACTGACTGAGCCACCCAGGTGCACTTATGTTTTGCTTTTCTTTTTTCAGAAAAGATTACT